CAGCTTTTTAATTAATCGAGACTGGGCTATGATGCCTTTTTTGACTGAGGTTCCAAAGCGTTCTCCACCACATAAACCACTTAACAACGTGGTTGGCAAAGAGAGGGAATGGTCAAATCAAGAACTCACTACTCCCCTTTTCCATCCAGCTCTCTCTTCAACTCTAAATTCTCTATCTCTCCCAAAGTTTTCTCTTTGCGTTGATATTTTTCATCTCTCTTTTTTGAGTTTGGCGTAGTTGAAAGCGATTAAGATGCACCTTTGAGAGATCAGGTAAGTATCCGGAGAAGATCTGGAATACCTAGTTGTGTCTTTGATTTAGCTAATTCATCCTTCTCTCTCATGAGTTTGCTGTACTTTTTTTTCTTCATGGGAGATTCAGGCGGCGAGCTCTCGGTGAGTCATCTCGGTTCTTTACTTCTCGAATATCTCTATGCAGCTCTTTACTTCTCGAATAACTATTTTGTTTCACTTTATCTTCTTTTAGAGCCAATTCCAGGTTCTTTTGTTTTCATTTTTAGGCGGAGGATGTCTTGGGAGTTGAGCGAAGCGATGAAGTGATAGACATTTTAATTATTTGGTTTTTATGTTCGGCTTGAATTATTTTGTTCAGGTTTATTTTGGTTATTGTGGGATAATTTGGGGATTAATAAGTTGGGGTAGTCATAGGTAATTGTGTTTAGGTATTTAAACTATTGTATTACGTAGAAGAGGTAAGCAAGATTAATATTATCAAAACCCTAATCTCCACTCTCTTTCTCTCTTCCCTTCTCTCTCGGCCGAACCTCCCTTCCTTTCCCTCTCTTGGCTGCCGAGCAGCTTCTGCTCTCTCTTCCCTCAACTTCCCAAAATCTCTTCTTTCCTCACATCCCAATTCTAGTTCCCAAGGTCATCATCTCGTTGACCCCCAATTCCCTAATCCCTAGATAGAACTCAGCTTAGCGGGTTCTATCATTTGGTATCAGAGCCCCGTTCTTGGGTTCGTGATCAAACAAAGACGATCAAGATGGTGTTGACAAAGTCCATGACTACAGCTGAAAAGGCAGCCAAGGCAGCGCAGGAGTAGGCCGTGTCTGCGACAATGACGGGGCTGCCGTCCTCTAGTGATGGCGCACATGGGGTTCCGAGCCCGCGGGATGGGGAGCTGGAAGACGAGACGGAGAAAGAGGCGATCCGAGTCACCTTGGACCGTCTGGTGGCCGCGTTCGAGACGGAGCGCCTGGAGAGGCTGGCAGAGAGACGTGAGCGGCTGGAGGAGTCCCGAAGGGTCTGGCTGCGGTTTGACGAGGTCCAGGCGGCCTTGGAGGCGCTCACGGCGCACGACCATCCCCACAGAAGGGCGACGGCGGCGGCACAGGGGCGAGCGGGCCGGTCGCAGCGGACGTGCTTACCTGTTTGACTGCCACATCAGACAAATTTAACGGAGTTGGACGGAAAGTGACCAAACTTGAACCATTTAACTAATTTGAGTGACCAATATTGGATTTAAATATTTACAGTGACCAAACATGAACGTTTTTTTTAATCTCAGTGACCAACCATGCAATTAACCCAATATTTTAGTTTGTTTGTTTTTGTTTGGTTTTAGACACTTTTAACCAATCAAACCAAATTAACCAGTTAAATAATTAGCCATATATCTAATATATATATTATATACACATACTTAATATTTTAAATAATCACTTAATAGTCGAATGTAAAATAATTGTATTTGTTACATGTATTTATGTTAAGGGAGATAATTGTATTTGTTGCATATATTTATGTAAAGGGTTAGCTATAATTATGTGTTGATTGATATGTGTTATTCATTATATAAATGGCGAATTGATGCACTAACCAGAAAATTTCTAACTTAATAATAATGTGATGTTATATTGGTTATTTTAGTTAACCAATTAACCAAACCGATTAAATTTTAGTTTGGTTAAATTTATGTAAAGGGTTAGCTATAATTATGTGTTGATTGATATGTGTTATTCATTATATAAATGGCGAATTGATGCACAAACCAGAAAATTTCTCACTTAATAATAATGTGATGTTATATTGGTTATTTTAGTTAACCAATTAACCAAACCGATTAAATTTTAGTTTGGTTAATTTGGTTATTGTATTAGTTTAGGGATGACAATAAAACCCGAACCCACGGGTACCCACCCGACCCAACCCGGTCAACGCGGGTAAAATCCGTGTTGACGGGTTTTGGGCCGGGTTTGGGATTAAACCCGTTCACTATTTAGCGGGTTGGGTTCGAGTTTAGGTAAACCCGCCCCATGGGTATCCGCCCACACCCATATAATTAATTTCTAGGTATATTGAACATTCAAAACAATTAGTCTTATTTATGTTTGTGGAGACATGTCTAATTTTTTCTTTCTAATTGTGTAGAATGAAGTTGATGTTATCGAGAAAATTGAAAGGAAGAAGCTTTCAATTAATCATGTATTTATGGATAATTTGTGATTTGCTTCAATTTTCTTGAGTTTTCTAGATTAGTGTTGAACAATTTGTATAATTAATTTGTGATTTGCTTGAATTTTCTAGAATGGTGTTTTATATATGGATACTTTGTATTGAGAGATTGATATTTGACTTTAATTTTGATAAGAGCTTGTTATTGTAAATTTTTTACGACAAAAACCCACGGGTACCCATGAACCCACGGATACCCAACGGGTTGAGTTGGGTTTGAGTTTTTCAAACCCAATGGGTTTTACCCCGGGTTTTTTTCATGGATAAACCCATGGGTTTGGGTTTGACAAAACCCGACCCAACCCGACCCATTGCCATCCCTAGTCATGAGCGAGACGATAGCTCTTAAGTGTCGGTCCATGCTAGAACCTCTTTGAAGTTGAGTTTCTCATCTATGAGGTGGAGTCTCAAGTTACGAGCAGGTGGTGTGGCAGGTGATGAAGGCTCGTGCACTTGATGCAGATGACGTCTCCACCCTCGATACCTCTTCTTCTCTTATCTCGTCTCATTGCCCCAAACTATATATGACAACATCAATTGTCCACCATCGCGTCTACCAATAGGGACCGATGTCGATGTTGCCTTGGTATGGCAAAGAGACACTGCAAATGGGTCCTTGGCTCCTTGCGAAGCAGTTCCTCGAAGTTTGGTGGAGATATCACATGTAACTCATGGCCGGTGCAAGCCTCTTCCACCTCAACTTCATCCTCGGCCTGGACTCCAATTTCTTCTTCAACCTCCCTTCCTTCTTCAAAATGTGGTATCACCCCTAGAAAAGGATCAAGAACTCCTTCTACTTCACTTTCTTCATCCTCCACAACTTCTTTTTGCACGCTTTCTTGCTCTTCTTCTTCCAGCACGGATTGGAGAGAAAGTAAGCAAGCAATTTCTTTGATGAGATCATCTTGCATCTCCTCACTCATGCCCACCTCTTCAAAGCTCAATGTGGGATGCGGGAAGGTGTGGTCGGCTACGACATGACATTTTTTATCATGATCATCACGGGAGCTCTCCGTGACAACTTATGTCTGCTCCACAATGTCGTCGTAGCATTTTTCTTCCTCCTCCTCTTCTAGTATAGTAACAGAAGGGTGATCTTGAGAAGGCTGTGCATAAGATTTCTCAAGATCCTCGAGGCTCTTCTTATTGCTCAGGAGAATCTCTTCTGTTTCACAATGGGCCTGGGTACAAAGATCCATCTTGGAGTATGATCTCTCAGTGTCTCGAGCAAACTGCTCCACGAGAGGGACGTATCCTTCTCTAGAACAACCGATCAAGGCGTTCTGAACTAGATTCCCTCTATCGAATGAGGTTCTCAATCGATACATAGCAGTGAACCAACCCTCGACTAAAGAAATCGATCCAATACTATCAATCTATGGTGCTCTGTTGACCTAATTAGGTATTCGCTCTCATAGGATCAAAGCAGAATCAATAATCTCGACTAAAGCAGAATTGAATCATGAAAACATGCATAAATTGAATATGAACTCAAGATTATCAAGTAAGAGTACTCATACTACCATCCAATCAAACAAACATGGCTAGGGTTCCTCAAAACCTAAGTGAAGGGAAGTTACTCCATATAGAAGAGAGAGACTGCAGTAAGAATCTTCAAATGATCAGTCTTCAAGTCCGGGCTTGTTCCTCGAGCTTCCTGTAGACACCACTTTTTGTCCGGGTTAGAACATATATTTAATTAAATAATTTTAGTGTTTTGTCTAAAGTTTGCAATAGCAAATCCTAAATGACATTCTAACTAAAACATATTTGTAGTGCCTGTGATGGGTTTTGTTTGCCTTGAAGAGATTAACTAATAGCAAATCTCGACCAATATAATTGATAATGAGAGAGTTGAGTTGTGTTTGCTTTGATTTGACGAATTAGGCAATTTTTGAATTGATCTTTGATGAATTGGTTCTTAAAATTTTGGACGGGGCGATGATTGTACTTTGATTTTGAAGCAATAAAAATATTCGAATTAAGAAAAGATAAATAAGCATATTATTAAACTAAATTCGAATTAAATCAAATATAAATAAAAATTACAATCACAATGCTATTCCATTAAATTTACAAATAAAATACAACAATAAAATAAATCAAGACCTAAAGTCATAGTCAACTTTCGGTCAATTCAGTCAACAAGAGTCAAAGTCAGCCAACCCAATCAGATCTGACCAAACCCAAACTGGTCCGACCCAAATCCAGACCACTACTGTAGCAAAACTTGGCGCACAAGTAGCCAATTTTCCTATAAAAAGGGAGCCCCATGGCTCTTACAAGGGGAGAGATTTCCCTCTGATGACAAACGAAAACAAAAAAGCAGAGGGTTCTTCTCTTCCTGCTACTTCTTTCCTTTTCCCCTGGGAAGAACAGGTCTTCTCTTCCTCTTTTCATCTTCGGTTCTTGCACAAAGAGAGAGAGAAAGAAAGACAACAAAAAGAAAACCCACAAACCATGAAAGGGATGAAAGGGACATGGAGCAGACCCCCTCTCCTCTTCTTCTTCTTCTTCTTCTTCTTCTTCTTCTTCTTCTTCTTCATCTCCTGATCATTCCCCAACGCCTTCCATTTCCCCTGCTAAACACACCCAGACAAATAACTAAGCTCAAAAACTGAACAGATAGACTTCCCTCTTCCCCCTTCGGCTCTAACAAATACTCACAGAATATAAAAAGAAGAGGAACCTTCTTCTACCTCCTCTCTTTCTTTTTCGTACAAACGTCACCATCATAACGAAAAAGCAGTCAAAGACAGAAAATACTCCATTCCACGTTTTCCTCTTGTTACAAAGCATCAACAACAAATAAGAAAAAAGACAGCAGCAGCCAGAGAGCAGCGGCAACTCTACAGCAAACATTCTGCTTCTTTTCTTACACACAAAAGACCCACCACAAGAGGCAATAAGTTTCCAGCAGTCAAACCAAGCGAAGACAGAGGAAAACAGCTTCATCCCCTCCCCCAAACTACACGAACAGGTGGGTATCCTAAATCTTTTTCATCTTTCCATCATCATCATTTGCATCACCGGATCTAAGGCTAGTTATCTAAGGTTTTCTCAAAAACAAATCAATCAATTCCAAGCAAACACTGGCATACTGATTTTGTATAAAAGAGGAATCTCAATCTACCACCAATCAAACTACAAATGACCAAATTGATTTAACAAGACATCAAACTCAATCAACCGAAATCAAATTACAATCTGACCCAAATAAAACTCCAAAAGCAATCAAGCCCAATCGATTTTCAAAGCAAATTACAAGTCGGCAATTGTCACCATAATAACAAAAGCAATCAGCAAATCAAATATATTGCTTTTCCTTATGGATTCATTATATTTACTTTCCTAATTATCTCAGTACTTTCATTTAAATATTTCATGTTTAAGCCTACTACAATACTAGATATATAAATCTATATTTGTTCATCATTTACTATTTCATTGCCCGTTCTGCTTATTTTTGTATGTTTGTTATTATATGTTGGACTACACGCGTAACCATCACTAAGCTAAATTCCCCAGTTATTCATCATACACACAACAAATTTCCAGATTCAGTTGCCGTAAAACCAACTAACAGATTCGAGCCCACCATAATATACCACAAATTTCCAGAAACCACAAACCATCACAAATCACACAATAAACTACCAGCAGTTCCAGATTCAAACTACCACTACCACCACCAAAATCCCCAGAAGCTAAAGCCATCATACAAACATATAATTTCAGCCCCAAATCATTACCACAATCAAGAAGTTTGAGCCCTAAACAGTCAGTCATAAACACCAAAACATGTGATAGCAAAATCAAAGCAGAATATCCCAAAACCTTGACTACCAAGAAAACAACAGAAGCTAAACGATGTTGCCATTAATCATGCATACCCTTACCTGTTAGAACCCTCCTGCCTAAACGATGTTGCCATTAATCATGCATACCCTTACCTGTTAGAACCCTCCTGCTCTTTCAACCTCGTTGTCTCCACGGCCAGAAACGATTTGCCTCCATCGCCGGAGTTTTGATACATCCTTTCCCAACACTCCTCCTTTCATATACCTCATACCTAGTAGAAAACAAACGCAAGACGAATTCGATTAGAACCCTAAACAACCAAATCGAGCCCCAAAAATGCGACATGCAACCGGAAATTAGACATACCACTGACCTTCCTCGTTGCCGTAATAATCGCCAGAGTCGACTGCTTCAGTCATCGTCGCCGGCGTCCTTGTCCCCTTCTTTCAGTTTCTCTCAGAGAGGAGAATGCAGATCGAGAATTGCGAGAGAGAGAGAGAGAGAGAGAGAGAGAAAATGGAATGGTTTGGTTCTTTCTTTTTACTTTGCTCAATCGAGAGGAGAGCAGAAGGGGAGAGGGATCGAATTGAGGGGAGTGAGCATATTGGGTTTGGTTTTTTTTCTCCGGTTCGTTTTCGTGGAAGAGAGTACGAGAGAGAGAGAGAAAGACAAAGGGGAGAGCGGCGGTCGGTTTAGGTGAGTGAGTTTTAGGGTTTCGTTTTGATCCTAGGAGATAAACACACATAGTGAAGCGCCTAACCACTAGGACTACGATATTTTTATTGTTTCCTTAATTCTTTCGCTACTCTTTATTCTACCGTGAGCTTAATCCGCAAAATTTATATCGGCTAATCGTGTCAAGACCTTTGCATTGGCCAAGTTACGATTACTTCTCAGTATCTCAAAATGTTAAAACCTTGATTAAATTTGTCCCTAATTTTACATACACATACTTATTTTACTTAGAGATTTTCCTAATATGAAATTATGGTCAATAGGCCGTGATGGTCATTCTCGTTGAAATTCTTACAAAAGAAAAACAATCTAGCGTTCAATCACCACATTAAAAATCATTAATTCATTTACTAACAACTCAAATTATCTTAATTGCGATCAATAGAACGTGTTTAGGATCACTTTAAAATTTACTCCACATTTCAACGTGTGAGACTCAACATTTAAAATCTCTCAATTCAATCGAACTACGTGGACTTTGATCCCGGTTAACCCGGGTACGTAGGCAGCCGATAGGTTCGAGTCCAACCAATCTAAAAACCCTTTTTTACGTCAATAGACGTGAAAACCGGTAACTTTAAATTCAAGTTTACACCAATCACATCGTCCTATGAGACTCTAAAATTTATTAAAAAAAAAACAATTAAAACTACAACTAAATACACAAACAAATCTCAATTAATATTACACCCAACCTCTAAAAAAACTTATCGATTTATGTAGTACCCGTTATGGGGCGTTGTGGGGTGTGAATACACTTCCCCGCACGTAACCGTACTCCCGAACCTAGAACAATCTAAAATTCGCAGACCAGAATTCTGGTTTTTAACAAAATTAAAACCAGAAAAGGGTGTTTGACCCACCCCAAAGCAAGGTCGATGGCGACTCCGAGCGTGTCGCGTCGTATCCCCCGATTTCGGAGGGGAGGTTGCGACAGTGGCGACTCCGCTGGGGACAATTCGAGAGTCGGGCTACAACATTTAAATCGATAAGTTTTTTTTATTTTCTTCGGTATCTTGGGTGTTTATTATCTTATTTGTGCAACTACCTTATTGCTTATTAAATTATTTGCATCATAATTAAAAGCTCTATGCCCGAGCTCTACCTTTAGAAAACACGAAAGGAGTACCGTGAGGCCTACAATAGTAGGTTGGCACGCGAAACTTTCTAACCAAGTTGAACTCAAATCCGAGGTTGATTTGAGGTATCCGACTAAGCTTGAAAGAGCAATAGTAGGGTACAACTTGGGAATAAATCCCTAGAACTCATTATCCAGCATATAGTCAGTCTAGAAGCCACCTTAAACTATCCAAAACTTATCCTGAGGCCTATCTTAAACATCGTTGTTAAACCTCACAAAACCCTAAGTTGGCCTAAATAGGATGATGTGTTTATGATTCATGTTTGTTTATGATATAATGAATTAATGCTGCATCGATTATGCATGAATGATGTGGTTAGATGTTATGCAAAAGTTTACAAAAATCATGACATTAGCATTTTTTTTCCGTTCATTCTCCATTCGTTCACTCTACAATCAATCAAGAAGGTAATTTTACCAACATTCATGCATCCACACACAAAAAAAAACATCTTGCATATGCATATTCACACCATTTCGCATGATTATCATATATTCATCTCATTTATCAACATGGCGGATTTAACCATAATAAATCAAGAATTCTCTAAAATTGTTCATACACGAGGATAAAGTCAAATCCTATGTACCAGATCCAAGGTTGTGCTCATTCTAGAAGAAATTCGATGACAGTAAAAGAAGTCAACGGTACCAGATCACAAGGAATCTATCAGAAATTTCGAAGAAGTTATTCGTTCAAACATCAATAACCCACTACCTAGCTATGGAGATTAGTAGGCATACTACTAGAGAAGGCTTAATTCGAGCATCATGTAGCCCCGCACAATCAAACAAATGTCTAGATACTCTACCATATTGAAGATGTGTACCAACCTTTATATCATAATAAAGAATGATGTGTAACTCGCATTTCCACCTATTTGGAACATTGTGTGCCTACTACCAATCTTGATCTAAGACTTTGCATCAATGATTCTTTTTCAAAATGACGAATATATCTTCCATATCTTTTAAAATCTACCTTTCTTCTGTGGAAATGGGAACCTAAAAACGCATTTCATGTTTTCAAGCTGAGCCATGAGATTTTCATATTAAGCAACCATAAGCACCCCACTGGTGCTGAGTGTTTATAAACACCGTACTGGTGTCCAGAATTTGATCCACCCACTTATGTTGAGAGTCAGCACACTTTGCTAGAGTTGAGAGAAAAACACCCCACTGGTGTCCACAAATTATGTGAGCTAAATAGTCAAAGGGTGCAACGAGGATATGACACTAGGCTACTTGTAGAATCTTGTCACTATCCATAACCGATATAGGTCGTGTATTTCGAATTATGGCCTACAAGAAGCGTGATGCCGACATTATAATAGCCAAGTTTTGACGAAACCCTCATCGAGGCACGCATAGAATCCACATCATCTGTTGAGGCTAAAGAGAAAAATGTCTTAGCATCCAATGTCTACACGCATAAATCTAACTCGGGAGGAGGCATTCAAACTGACATCATGAGTATCACTTCCTCAAGAAAGGGATAGCCAGTAGCCCATACGACAAGAAAATCACTCACATCGACAAATTTCTAACATTTTGATGCTCAAGTCAAAATGACAGCATGTATGGGGCATAACAACATTAAGTAAGTCCCACAAAAATTAAAAGGAAAAAAAGAAGCCAAAATGGCAAGAAAAATCAAAACAAAGAAAACGAAAAAGAAAAATTGTGGGACTTACACATTAGATGCCCATACACGAGCGCTTCAAGCTACAATCACTCAAACTCGTCCCAAATGACTGACTACCTTTGCAAAGAGGCAAAAAAAAAAGGCGATAATGTCGATATGGTCACAAGGGTTCAATATTGGACAAATATCTCAATCAGGATACACTCAAGCGGATCTAGCCATCAAGTTAACAAGCTTTCCAGATCAAAGAATGCTTGTGTTTCAATCATGAGGAAATAACGCAAAGAACCCCTAATGAGAAGGGTTCATAAGATGAGATTATCAACATACGCTTAAATTACATCTCCATGATGATCCCTATTATCCAATTCTTTCTAGTAAAAGAAGAATCCCCATGATAATACGATTTTCCAATCATAACCTCCTCATAAAGGTCTTCAACATTCATCATTCCAAGAGCCAATAAGCAGTTGAAGTCTACATCACACAAACACCTCCTTTATCCATGAACCAGCTTCATACTCTGGGGGCAAGTCAGAATCCCTCAGCAGGAAACTTAGACGATGAAGGATGTGAGACTCATTTATCCATCATTCATTTGAGGAAATTCAGCTTCCCAAAACATAAATGACTCTGACGTACAAGAGTCACTTTCCAGAAAAGTTCCAGAACTCACATGACGAGACCATATAGAGATTACATGGAATCTCCATGATCATCAACTTATACCTCCGACAGATTTGTCCATCAACTTGGCGACAAGAATCTTGATAGTAGCCAAAGTGTCGTATACTCGAAGCACCCATAGGAATGAGTGTGAGCGAAATTGAGCGTGAGAATGAAAGTGAGGGCTTGTGAATATTCTCATGGCTTGACTTCCGAAAAGAACGAAGTTTTAAACAAGGTGACAATAACCACACAAGAAATCATTTTTTTCATATTGCACACAATTCCCCCAGCAAGGCTTTGATTTCAAAAGTAAGTTCCCATTATATCCTCTTAAATGATTTTTTTTTTCAAACATTGTTTGCATTCATCTTAAGTCAAGATTGGTAAAAGTCACACTTTGTTCCGAAGAATGGAAGGCGAATAACACATTCTCGGGGGCAAGATAGTGCCACTCGGAAAAAAAGAAGAAAGTGGTTCTCCAAACCCACCAAATCATGAGTAAATGGGAAATCTCATAGATCTTGAATCAATTTTTGTTCAAGATACCCTACCAATCAATCAAACTATCCGTCAACAAAGTATTTTTGTACCTCATACCTCCCGATGAGGTCAATCAAGCATGTCTAGAAAACCGACATCAACAAGACAATACCCAGAGATAACAAATTTCTCTTATCCAAGCACGACATGCTCACATAGCAAGAAGATCAAGCAAACTAAATGAGCACATTATGCTGTGACCAGCATGCTACAAAATCCTCCCATAGAAACAACCTACCAGGCACATCCCATGAAAAGATCATATGGCTAATACATCAGCCACCCAAGAATCAATGTCCAAGGTGGTACAAAATCCTCTTACAGAAACAACCTACCAAGCACATCCCATGAAAAGATCATATGGCTAATACATCAGCCACCCAAGAATCAATGTCCAAGGTGGAGAAAACAAAAGACCAACCTTCCATCAATCCCCATAAGCGACATACCTTGTGCTCACTGAGTATATAAAAGAGGATAAACTAGATGGCAAGCCCAGTACCTCGAGATAGTGACACACACCAACGAATAAAGTACCCATGTCGGCAGTATGCTACCCCATCGCGAGCACAACCAAGGATCAATTTTACTTAAAGGAAATGACATATTTTCCTTGTGGATGATCGATTTAAGAGAATCCATGGTAAAAAAAAACATCAAGACCATGATGAGGGATTATACTCTTTCTTTTGCATACCATCGAGACATCATCCTATAACCCATCATACAACCTTTTTCGAAAGCACTTCACACGCATCGAATGTCATCATTCTCAATGCACTTCAAACTAATCATATGGCATCATCTAAAAAAAATTTCATAGCCAAATTAAATATCATTCATTCTCAAAATTCATTTAAAGTAGATGTACCCTTCCAACATATCTCATCACAATATTGCATCATATCATATCACAAAATACCTTGCATTTGCACATATGGGGAAGTCAAAATTCAAATCTTTACCAATATCAAGTTTGTCACATACCTTAGATCTACCTAAGACCACCAATTGCTTGTTTCAACCACTCATGTCAATCACAAAAAATCTATACCACTCGTGATCAAGTTAAACTTTCACATATCCTCGTGAATTTTACCGCCATGATACACGTGATCAAACAGGCTATACCGCCATGAATAAAAATCCAAAATCAGGCTCTATCACCACAAAATCTCAAATCTGGCTATATCGCCACGAGAACAAGATAACCTCAAATCAGGCTATACCGCTACGGGAACAAGATAAAAACAGTGAAGGCTATACCGCCATGCAGAACCCAAAGCAGGCTATACCGCCATTCAAAAAATCAAAAACAGGCTATACCGCCATACAAAAAGAATCTAAATCAGGCTATACCGCTACCGGATCATTAAAAAACGAAATAGGCTATATCGCCACAAGACTAAAAACAAGTCAAGTTATACCGCCATTGGACAAAAAAACCCAAATCAGGTTATATTGCCATGTAAACACTCCTAAAACGGGCTATACCGCCATGAAACCAGAAAACTATAGTCAGGCTATACCGCCACGATACCTAAATACCAACTCAGGTCCTACCGCCAAAATACCAAATACCAACTCAGGCCCTACCACCAAGATACCTGAATACCAACTCAGGCCTTACCGCCAAAATTCTTAATTACCAACTCAGGCCCTACGTCCAAATAACCTAAATACACTAATGCAGGGGCTATCGCCAAGACACCTAAAAACGCTAACGTAGGCGTTACCGCCAAGAAACCCAAAAGCACTAACGCATGCGTTACCGCCAAGAAATCCAAAAATCACTAACACTGGCCCTACCGCCATGATACGAAAAACAAAATCGTAGGTTATATAAAAAAACAAATGAACAAATTATACTACCGCATAAATTTACCTTACCTCACCTTAACTTACCAAAAGGGAGTGGGCTAGCGCCCCAACCTTGCAATTTATAGCAATAATTAACCGGCCAAAAATGGTGTGCTATAATAACTTTGTATACCTCTCAAAATACCAAGAGATATACAAAGGGGGGCAACTGTAGACACCACTTTTTGTCCGGGTTAGAACATATATTTAATTAAATAATTTTAGTGTTTTGTCTAAAGTTTGCAATAGCAAATCCTAAATGACATTCTAACTAAAACATATTTGTAGTGCCTGTGATGGGTTTTGTTTGCCTTGAAGAGATTAACTAATAGCAAATCTCGACCAATATAATTGATAATGAGAGAGTTGAGTTGTGTTTGCTTTGATTTGACGAATTAGGCAATTTTTGAATTGATCTTTGATGAATTGGTTCTTAAAATTTTGGACGGGGCGATGATTGTACTTTGATTTTGAAGCAATAAAAATATTCGAATTAAGAAAAGATAAATAAGCATATTATTAAACTAAATTCGAATTAAATCAAATATAAATAAAAATTACAATCACAATGCTATTCCATTAAATTTACAAATAAAATACAACAATAAAATAAATCAAGACCTAAAGTCATAGTCAACTTTCGGTCAATTCAGTCAACAAGAGTCAAAGTCAGCCAACCCAATCAGGTCTGACCAAACCCAAACTGGTCCGACCCAAATCCAGACCACTACTGTAGCAAAACTTGGCGCACAAGTAGCCAATTTTCCTATAAAAAGGGAGCCCCATGGCTCTTACAAGGGGAGAGATTTCCCTCTGATGACAAACGAAAACAAAAAAGCAGAGGGTTCTTCTCTTCCTGCTACTTCTTTCCTTTTCCCCTGGGAAGAACAGGTCTTCTCTTCCTCTTTTCATCTTCGGTTCTTGCACAAAGAGAGAGAGAAAGAAAGACAACAAAAAGAAAACCCACAAACCATGAAAGGGATGAAAGGGACATGGAGCAGACCCCCTCTCCTCTTCTTCTTCTTCTTCTTCTTCTTCTTCTTCTTCTTCTTCATCTCCTGATCATTCCCCAACGCCTTCCATTTCCCCTGCTAAACACACCCAGACAAATAACTAAGCTCAAAAACTGAACAGATAGACTTCCCTCTTCCCCCTTCGGCTCTAACAAATACTCACAGAATATAAAAAGAAGAGGAACCTTCTTCTACCTCCTCTCTTTCTTTTTCGTACAAACGTCACCATCATAACGAAAAAGCAGTCAAAGACAGAAAATACTCCATTCCACGTTTTCCTCTTGTTACAAAGCATCAACAACAAATAAGAAAAAAGACAGCAGCAGCCAGAGAGCAGCGGCAACTCTACAGCAAACATTCTGCTTCTTTTCTTACACACAAAAGACCCACCACAAGAGGCAATAAGTTTCCAGCAGTCAAACCAAGCGAAGACAGAGGAAAACAGCTTCATCCCCTCCCCCAAACTACACGAACAGGTGGGTATCCTAAATCTTTTTCATCTTTCCATCATCATCATTTGCATCACCGGATCTAAGGCTAGTTATCTAAGGTTTTCTCAAAAACAAATCAATCAATTCCAAGCAAACACTGGCATACTGATTTTGTATAAAAGAGGAATCTCAATCTACCACCAATCAAACTACAAATGACCAAATTGATTTAACAAGACATCAAACTCAATCAACCGAAATCAAATTACAATCTGACCCAAATAAAACTCCAAAAGCAATCAAGCCCAATCGATTTTCAAAGCAAATTACAAGTCGGCAATTGTCACCATAATAACAAAAGCAATCAGCAAATCAAATATATTGCTTTTCCTTATGGATTCATTATATTTACTTTCCTAATTATCTCAGTACTTTCATTTAAATATTTCATGTTTAAGCCTACTACAATACTAGATATATAAATCTATATTTGTTCATCATTTACTATTTCATTGCCCGTTCTGCTTATTTTTGTATGTTTGTTATTATATGTTGGACTACACGCGTAACCATCACTAAGCTAAATTCCCCAGTTATTCATCATACACACAACAAATTTCCAGATTCAGTTGCCGTAAAACCAACTAACAGATTCGAGCCCACCATAATATACCACAAATTTCCAGAAACCACAAACCATCACAAATCACACAATAAACTACCAGCAGTTCCAGATTCAAACTACCACTACCACCACCAAAATCCCCAGAAGCTAAAGCCATCATACAAACATATAATTTCAGCCCCAAATCATTACCACAATCAAGAAGTTTGAGCCCTAAACAGTCAGTCATAAACACCAAAACATGTGATAGCAAAATCAAAGCAGAATATCCCAAAACCTTGACTACCAAGAAAACAACAGAAGCTAAACGATGTTGCCATTAATCATGCATACCCTTACCTGTTAGAACCCTCCTGCCTAAACGATGTTGCCATTAATCATGCATACCCTTACCTGTTAGAACCCTCCTGCTCTTTCAACCTCGTTGTCTCCACGGCCAGAAACGATTTGCCTCCATCGCCGGAGTTTTGATACATCCTTTCCCAACACTCCTCCTTTCATATACCTCATACCTAGTAGAAAACAAACGCAAGACGAATTCGATTAGAACCCTAAACAACCAAATCGAGCCCCAAAAATGCGACATGCAACCGGAAATTAGACATACCACTGACCTTCCTCGTTGCCGTAATAATCGCCAGAGTCGACTGCTTCAGTCATCGTCGCCGGCGTCCTTGTCCCCTTCTTTCAGTTTCTCTCAGAGAGGAGAATGCAGATCGAGAATTGCGAGAGAGAGAGAGAGAGAGAGAGAGAGAGAGAAAATGGAATGGTTTGGTTCTTTCTTTTTACTTTGCTCAATCGAGAGGAGAGCAGAAGGGGAGAGGGATCGAATTGAGGGGAGTGAGCATATTGGGTTTGGTTTTTTTCTCCGGTTCGTTTTCGTGGAAGAGAGTACGAGAGAGAGAGAGAAAGACAAAGGGGAGAGCGGCGGTCGGTTTAGGTGAGTGAGTTTTAGGGTTTCGTTTTGATCCTAGGAGATAAACACACATAGTGAAGCGCCTAACCACTAGGACTACGATATTTTTATTGTTTCCTTAATTCTTTCGCTACTCTTTATTCTACCGTGAGCTTAATCCGCAAAATTTATATCGGCTAATCGTGTCAAGACCTTTGCATTGGCCAAGTTACGATTACTTCTCAGTATCTCAAAATGTTAAAACCTTGATTAAATTTGTCCCTAATTTTACATACACATACTTATTTTACTTAGAGATTTTCCTAATATGAAATTATGGTCAATAGGCCGTGATGGTCATTCTCGTTGAAATTCTTACAAAAGAAAAACAATCTAGCGTTCAATCACCACATTAAAAATCATTAATTCATTTACTAACAACTCAAATTATCTTAATTGCGATCAATAGAACGTGTTTAGGATCACTTTAAAATTTACTCCACATTTCAACGTGTGAGACTCAACATTTAAAATCTCTCAATTCAATCGAACTACGTGGACTTTGATCCCGGTTAACCCGGGTACGTAGGCAGCCGATAGGTTCGAGTCCAACCAATCTAAAAAAACCTTTTTTACGTCAATAGACGTGAAAACCGGTAACTTTAAATTCAAGTTTACACCAATCACATCGTCCTATGAGACTCTAAAATTTATTAAAAAAAAAACAATTAAAACTACAACTAAATACACAAACAAATCTCAATTAATATTACACCCAACCTCTAAAAAAACTTATCGATTTATGTAGTACCCGTTATGGGGCGTTGTGGGGTGTGAATACACTTCCCCGCACGTAACCGTACTCCCGAACCTAGAACAATCTAAAATTCGCAGACCAGAATTCTGGTTTTTAACAAAATTAAAACCAGAAAAGGGTGTTTGACCCACCCCAAAGCAAGGTCGATGGCGACTCCGAGCGTGTCGCGTCGTATCCCCCGATTTCGGAGGGGAGGTTGCGACACTTCCAAGGCGAAGAAATCCTCCAATTCCACTCCAAGATTGCCCTCAAATCGCTCTCTCTCTTTGGTTCGTCCCTTGGGTGTTTGGGATCCACAACCCAGCTCTCCCCTCTCAAAAATCACAGAAAATACTTATACCCGAGTAGGGGCAGAAACACGGTCGAGAACAGTCATGTTTAGTCCTATCCGTGTTTTTATCCCACCCGTGTTTTGAATCCCTTCAGCATTCTTCACAAGAGAGGCTCGTCAAAGAAAACACTGGCAGGTGCCAGATGAAACACGATCGTGTTTTTAGGGTAGTCTGCCTGTGTTTCTTCCGCCGACTTGTTCCCCTATATTCAATGCTTCGTTTCTCCCTCGTCCGGACTCTGAATCAGTCGTCGTTTAATCCCAGACGCTCGTAGTCTCATCCTTTTTCTTTTCATGACAAGATTTCATGATTATTTGTCCATAAATGAGGTAGAAATCCATTCTTCTTCAGGTGATGCCCGAGTTTCTTCTCCCGAATCGCCAATTGATCTCCGATTGACTTGAAACTTGTGCCTACGCTTCGCTTTATGTGCTAGGACCTGAAATGTGAAAAAGGAACACAACCTAGCATAAAATAGGACAAAGAAGCGATAATGCAAGCTCAAACGATCAAGAAACAAAGGGGAAAACATATGCAAATATCGAATCATCAACTGGGAATCTAGACCAAACCAGATGGGAAACCTCGGTCTAGACCGTATCATATGGTTTGGTCTGGACCGCAAGACCAGAACTATGGTCTGGTCTGGTTTGTTGTCTCCTCCTTTAGTACGTGGTCTGAAGTGGTCTGGACCGCGGTCTACCGCAGTAAACCGTAACAGACCGCGGCACATTACCTACTAACTCGGGTAAAAATAACACTAAATTGAACCTCCATTTGTGTATTTAAAGAAGAACGTTATTTGATTCTTCATCTAGTTGAGAGCCAAAAAATTTCCAAATGATCGCTTATGTGTTATCTCGATATCAAAGAACCACACAAAAACCAGAAAGACTCATAAATAATATTCACAGACAATGTCTAGACTATGGAGTCGATAAAAATTAAACGATAGAAAAAAATTCGTTCACCTTGATGAGATAAGAAAAATTATTGAGAGATATGTGACCATTTTAGTGGTTCAAAAGTACTGCGACGTCATCACAAAGGTTATCAACTGGGAGAACCTTCGGATCACTCGAGAGAGGAGAGAAGCAGTGGCACAAAGAGGAATAGGGAAACAAGGCTATTCGATGTGTGTGTGTGTGTGTGTGTGTGTGTGTGTGTGTGTGTGTGTGTTTGAAAATTGAAAAACCCCACTTCTATCCGCATATTTCTTCTCATTTAATTACGATCACAATTTTTTTTGTTTCAATAGCATATTGGTCACTAGAATTTTTATTTTTATAGATACCAGCAAAGGGTTGGAGGGGGGAACAAGAGTTTTTTTTTTAACATGGTCTGTCTGGGGATGGTAAGCCACCGACACCTGATGCTTAACACCATAGCGAGAGAGGATCTTAGTGAATTGCCCTTGAAAATGGGTTCCTCTATCGCTTATGATGGCACGAGGTGTCCCGAACCGGGAGAACAAATGCTTCACAAATAGGCAGACCCGTCTTGCGTCATTGGTGGGCATGGCTTGAGCTTCTGCCCACCTCGAGACATAGTCTACCGCAACCAGTATATATAGATTACCAAAAGATGGAGGGAATGGGCCCATGAAACCGATCCCCAAATGATTCGGGCCCAAATGTACACATTTTACCCCTCATTTCTTATTCGTTTAACTTAGCATTTCATCGTTCCTCGACATATATCACGCTAGGTTGTGCTTGTTTTGATACATTTCAGGTCCTAGCATGTGTGGAAGGGTCGGGGACGAGTTTTGGGATATTTGGAGGTCAAAAAGCGCAAAAACTGAATAAAAGTCCCATGAAACAGCCGTAGTTCAAGGCCGGACGAGGTAGTTCACGGTCTCCTAAGACCGTGAACTTCGACCACAAACCGTGAACACTGAGGCATCCAGCGAGGTTCCTGAAGTTACTGACGACAAGGCAGTTCACGGTCTCTAAAACCGTGAACTGTGGCCATTGACCGTAAACCCAGGACAGTGAAGCGGTGCATTTTGGACGACGCGAGTTCACGGGCACGTTTAGGTGTTCACGGTTGTGAACTGGCAACGCGTTCGTGAACTGGTCACTTTCGGGCAAATATGAAGACAACAACGGGGAGAGAGAAAGGGGAGTTGGTTTTTGGAGAAGAAACACTTTCTTTCACTAGGGTGTCAACCTAAACACCAAAGGGGAGTTCTAGTGAGAGAGAGAGAGAGTGCTAGTGTGATTTTGGAGCATCATTGGAGGCTTGGGTAGAAGATTCAAGCCTAGAAGAAGAAGAAGATCTTGAGCTCAAATTTGTAATCCCTCTCTCTCTCTCTCTCTCTCTCTCTACAAACTCACTCTTTGCTCTTGGGTGGTGTAGATCCCAAACTAATACATTGTAATTACTTGTTTAGATTGAATTATTAAGTGTGGGTTTGCATCAATTTGAGTATTAGAGGTGTTTTTATGGTGATTGTGCATGCTCGTGCTTAGCAATATAAGGGTTGTGCATGTTTTGTGCTTAGCACCTTAGGTTTGTGCATGGTAGTGCTAGCAATCTAATTGGTCACCTTAGC